AGAACAAATGCTAGAAATATGTAAAATTAAAGTCCACCCTGCCTGTTTAGAACCAGTGCTATGTACAGTAATGTTCTTTATTCTTTTATATGTTTATCTTATTTTTCCCAGAAACTGTTTATAAAATCGCATTTATATATATTTCCGCTCAAATAAGTACTTCAGCGAAAGATAGTGATTTTTGGCCGCGATATAGCGGCTCATAGAATGATTTTGAGTTTGTTTTTTCAACTACAAACTTTTAGCTCATAGCGCCATCTCTTGACCGATTTGAGATCTAATTACAGCAGCGGCTATTGAGGATTCCCTGTTGTTTTAAGTGGGAGAATTGTTTATTGGATGGTCAAAATATCATAGCAAGCAAAATAATTAAGGGCCCATTGATCACCTTGAGCTTAAACTTACTTAATTTAATCCTTTATATTGTTAGAAATTCCCTTTAATTTAGGGAGCATAATTGACTGTGGATTCGAAAGTAAAGTAAAGAGCCGAGCTAGCTGTTCGTGTTAAAAAAACTTAGAAAACTATATTTACAGTAATCTTCTAGATGAAACCAAGTTAGTGCATATATATATTGTTAATGTCTCTTCTGTTATACCTAAACATTCTTTGGATGAGAAGGGAATCGTTTTTATAAATATTTTGACAACAACCGAAAAATACAAAGGTCTCAATATATTGCCTAAATATGTAATACAAACAGCATTTGTACTCTAAACACTAAATACAGTTGTTTGGAAAATTTCTATGTTTATATAACTATACGTAAAGGAATTGCTCGTTTTAGTTTTGAGTGAAGTTTAATACACAATTCCATTGGTTGACACATCATTATAATCCCAGATAATATAAATACTAAATAGGTAAGTATATTCTGGAAGTCACATCGAGCCGAAACCAAAATAATTGTGCTATCGTCTTGTTTTTGTATAATATTTATTAAATAATTCAGTTTTACAGCTAGCTCTTGTATAATAACCTACATAAAAGATACTTTACATAAATATACATTTGTTGAAGTTCATTCAATGATTGAGATTTCATATTTACAGAAAGTTTTCCTACAAAAATTAACTAGTTAGACTTATCTCCATCTGTACTTTCAATGTGTTGTGTCTTATCTTATAAAAGAAGATATGCC